TAGAAATAAAATTCTGCGTTATACTTCACGTATGGAAATGCTGACATTTTAATTTCATGCGCGCGAGACTATTCGTAAGGTAAATGTGAATTACAATATGATATGGCGAGTATAGATTAGTCACCGCGCCCGAGGAGTCTCCGCTGACGCTCGGAGTCGTCACGCGCGCCGAAAGTTGCTGACGCTCGAGGTCAGCGCGCGGACCTCCGAGAGACGCGGCGACTCGATACGTCTAGCGAACATTAAATAAAATTTAACAGAAGAGATTTTAAATTTTAGAGATTTTGTATATAACATTAGCATTGCTAATTACGTCCGCATAATGAGATAAGAAAGGAGGTTCTGAAATAAATTTATTTTTCTTTTTTGTTGCGGAGTGCCGTTACTGCACCCTCAAAGCGACTGACCTGAGCTTTAATAAAAAAGTGTGAATCGTAATTGAATAAATTCTACGACACCACTGGAATCACGCACGATTCAGTACAATTGATTTTACACCCAAGATGCGCAGCGCCTCTATATTTGTGTGTAAAATCGCAATGATCACGATATATTACAGCTTTTTCAGTAAATGCCCTGTGACAGATATGGCATGTTTTGGCTGCCATATAGGCTCGCTCCATCGGAGCACTCAAGATCATGGGCTCATTTCGTTTAAATTCAGCATCAATTTTAATAGCGAAGTAACTGTAACTGTATAATGAACTGTATAATGAACTGTGTATAACTGTATAATGAACTACTGAATGCAGTATTTTCTAAGGAAACTCGATTTTACTGGCAAATGTAATAGTCCATTAAGTTGAGACTTCGAATCACCGTAACTGCATTTAACATAAATTGCAACATAAACCATCAACATAAATCCTCAAGGGGTACTTTTTCCAATAAACACTCTGTGTCGGCATATATTAGGTGTATAAGTTAATTCTCGGCCCCTAGATTAAATTGATCAGGACACCTATCTGAATCAAAAGAATTCCGCGCAATAAACGGAATTTTGAGGCGTCATTTGTGAACTATCAAACCATTCAAGTTCGATTATGGTGTGATTAACACAACTTCAAAAACCATAGTGAATAAAAATGTCGTTCGACAAGCAGCACTTGAGGCACTGCCTTCTTTTCACCTTCCAACTTGGAAAAACTGCCGCAGAAGCAGAAGAAATGATTCGTTCGGCCTTGGAAGGGAGGGCTGTATCTTATAGCTCCTGTAAAAAGTGGTCTAAAAAATTTTGGGATGGAAATTTTGATCTCCAGGATGAGGAACGTCCTGGGCAACCAAAAAAAGTTGAGGACGAGAAGTTAGACAACTTACTCAATGAAAATCCCTGTCAAACACAATAGGAGCTTGCTGATACTCTTGGAGTGACTCAACCAACTATTTCGGTGCGTTTAAAAAGAATTGGGAGGATACAGAAGGAAGGTCGTTGGGTGCCTCATCATCTTACCTCAGAAAACACAAGTCGGCGCTGTGAAATTGCAATATGTCTACTGACCAGATTCAAACAAACAGACTTTTCACATAAAATTGTGACGGGGGATGAAAAGTGGATATTTGACGACAATCCTAAGAGGCGAAAGTCGTGGGTCTATCTGGGGGAGCCGTCAACTAGCACTGCAAAATCTAACATTCACGGGAAAAAATTGCTATTGTGTATTTGGTGAGATTCCAAAGGTGTAATCTATTATGAGATACTTGAACAGGGGGAAACCGTCACTGCTAAGCGTTATTAGAACCCACTGGTGAAACTGAGTGATGCTATTGAAGAAAAGAGACCTTTTACTGATAGTGGTACGAGGCAAGTGAGTTTGGTGCAGGACAACGCGCGGCCACACACGGCAAAAGAAACCCTGAAAGTTGTCTCCGCTGGGAAATTCTCCCACATGCGGCGTATTCTCCAGACCTTGCGCCTTCTATCACCTTTTTCGGGTGCTACAAAGTTACCTGGTGGATAACTAGTTTCGATCTCCTGAAGAAGTCCGGCAGAGCATTGATGACTTCATCCAGTCAAAACCACCATGTTCCTTTCGAGCCGGAATCCGACAATTGCCCGATAGACGGGAGAAATGCGTGACGGTGATTATTTTCAAGATTAGATCTGTATTAATTTTTTTATAAATAAATTTCAGAATTGTCGAAAAAAGGCCGAGAATTAATTTATACACCTAATACAACATATGGCACAGTCGGTTGATTCTGAAAATTCTGAAATGTATAATATTTTTCGTGCTCTTAAGGAAACATTATTCTGCACTTGTTGATTGTTATACAATCCAACATGGGATTCATATACGCCTCTTCTTGGAAGAAATGATATGAGCACCTGTCACATAAGAGTGCTTCAAGTTTGGATTTTGAAATTTTATAACTACGCAAACGTGATTAATTTGAAATCCATGTATAGTGATGAATTTTTCTCCCTCCATCATCCTCTTCGTTTTCTCCTCTAAGTAGGCGAGGATGAATAATGGTTACCTTGTCGGTCAATGTTGTAGCAGGCCGTTTACTAAAATATAATGACACAAGCCAAGTTTTATTGAATTCTTCATCACTATCAATCCCATGTATATTAATTAACATCTCATCAACTTTCTCAAACATTGGAATGTCTGTTAAGACTGTAGAATTTTTGAACATGCAATAGTTTTTTACAGTAGTGCTGAATGAAATGTGAGAATTCGGTCGTTTTTTTATCTGGAACATCATAGCGGATGACCATAATAAAACATAAGAAGAAATAGGAATCCCCGTTTTGTACGTTCACTACTGCACGTTCCTTCTTCCTCCATTCGGCAACTTCAATAAAACTGAATTCTTCTTCGCATAGTGGATTATATTGATTAATATTCACTACTAAATTGGTTACTTCAACCTACCTCTATCTAGAATCTTTCGCTTAGAACTCATCGACGTTTGTTAAAACTTTCTCTTTGATATTCTTTAAATAACTGGTTGATATTCGTATGTTCGTATGCAGAATTATTGGATTTTTCGTTGTGAACAATTTTTCTTCTTCAATGACTCCATCATTTTTCCGTATTTCATATTTATAGGATAACACTGCATTCAGTTTCAAGCTTCCCCGACATCTCAATGCATTTTTCAAAATCCATCTTGTTCTGGATTAACAGACACCATTAAACTAATAGGGAAATGGTGAAAGTTTTTTTCATATACATACGTTCAGTAGGCGTATCTACCTGAGAAACATGTTACGTGATTAGTCAGAAAGTACCATGTGACCTATGGAAAAATCTAGTGCTGTGTGAAATTTATCGAAGAGGAAGCACCAATGCATGCCTGGAAAATTACCGGAGGTTCACCGGATGGGTGGGGTTTGGCATTAAATGTAAGCAACAAAAAATTTTCCTGTTTTTTCCGAGAAACCGTTCCGTGTGAGGGGGGCAGGGTTGAAGGAAGTTTGGAAAATATCAAAAGGTTCGAAAATGTCTGGAAAATATCAAATGGCGCTGTGAAAAACTCAATTGTACCTTCCGTCATCCTACTACAGACGCAAACATGTTTGAGCCATCCACCCACCTAATTAGTCAATTAAATAATTAGATCGCGAATCATTTCTGCTAATTTGTTTTTTAATTGATTAATGAGTACGCAAATTAATTGACCCTTTCCCTCAGCCGCCCCCCTCGCGGGAGTGTAGATAGCTCTTGTCATTTGAAAGCCGCTAATCAGTTCATTAATTAACTAATGAGTCCGCCAATTAATTAAAACTTTCATACACTCGCCCCCTTACGGAGGTCTGGATCGTGCTACTCATTTGAAATTCGTTACTTAGTTGATTAATTAATTAATAAGTCCGTGGATTAATTAACCCTTTTACCCTCCCATCCACTCGCAAACGTGGATCGATCACGTTATAAATACCGACTTATTAATGAGTTCAATGCGAATGAAACCGTGAATTGATGAATTAACCCTTTCTTCCCCTCACTCCCTCGCACGATTCGTTAACTAGCTCATGGATAGAGCCATCTTTGACCAAGCAAACGGGGAAGTGGTTGAATCAATCCGCGAATTAAACCGTGAACAGCAGAGCAGAACGCGTATGGCCTCGCAATACGCGAAACAATCTACCCTTTCGCCTACCTCCTTGCGGGGATGGATTGACTAGGTCATCAATAGAGTCACATTTGACATAAAAACAAATTAATTAGATCGCGAAACATTTACGCTAATTATTCACTTAATCAATTAATCTGTACGCAAATTAATTAACCCTTTCATCCTCCTACTCCCTCACAAAGGTGTGAATAGCTTTTCTCATTTGAAATCCGCTAATCAGTTACTGAATTAATTAATAAATCCACGAATCAATTAACACTGTTATCCATTCGCCCCCTGGCGAGGGTGGGGATAGTTCTTATCATTTGAAGTTCATTAATTCGTTGATTAATTAATTGATGAGTCCGCGAATTAATTAACTCTTTGACGCGCCCATCTTCTCTCAGGCGTGGATCGACCACATCGTAAATACCGGCTGATTGTGATTTCAATGCGAATGAGTTGAATACGAATTAAACCGTCGATTGCTTGATTAACCCTTTCTTCACTCACTCCCTCGCGGGGTTACATTGACTAGCTCGTGGTTAGAGCCCATTTGAGAGAATGGTAAAACGGTTGAACAGAACCATTACCAATTACTTGGCGAAATTCATCAATTTCAATCAAATATTGACTCTTTTTTTTGTTCGCAAGGAATCCGTCGGAAATACTCGTTAATTTTGAAGCTGCCGTGGCATTATATGTGATCATTTTTCCTATCCAAATTTCGATCAACGGAATTGCATCCTGAGACGAAATCTATCTATCGGTTTGGACCCCTCGTTCATTCGACAGAAAGATCTTTTGTTTCTTATTACAGCAACTTTCAGAGAAATTTATCGAAAACTCATCAGTTGAACAGCACCTGAACTGCACTATGTGGCATCGAATGGCGTATTCTATTGACTGAAACTTGGATTTTTTTTCTTTTGCAGACAACGTTTGTTTACGCCCGTGGTCTTTTGAGCGTACTCCAAACAAGATGATTAGAGGTCTAGACAACGCCCTCATCTACACCTCCACTAAGGAAGCCTGTCTTGCTGCATGTCTCAACGAGCATCGTTTCACTTGTCGATCACTCGAGTATAATTATGTAACTCTTCAGTGTCACTTGAGTGATTCTGATAGGAGAACTACGGGACAGTTCGTGCAATTCGTTGATGCTCAAGGAGTTGATTATTTCGAAAACTTGTGTCTAAAAGGTAAATGTCCTAAAAATAGTGCATAAACATTTCGATTGTTTACTCATCTCGCTAACTAATCATGATAGTACGAGTAATGATAGTTCTCTTTTTGCAAGAATTTTCTGGAATATTTTTCCAACCGGAATCTCAACCAATGGAAATTGCATATTTGTTCTCATATGGGGGAACCGAGCTGATTCTATTTCAGGTATTTTTTAGGTCGCCCTGATAGTTGTTTAATGACGAGTACATTAATCCCACAGAAAATCATCTCTGTCGAAGTTCAGATAACTCGTGAGAATCGAAAAGGAAAAATGGTTGGATTTGGAAAACAATTCTTTCAATTTTTAAAGGTGATTTGGCGAAGGCCATCCTGACCTCATGCGGCCAAGGTGTTGATGTCGTTTCCTTATGCCGTTTTTCATTTCAGATTCGACAGTGCTTTTTCCAATTCATTGTTCATAATCATGCGGATGGTAAACAACAAGACGACTGATGAGAATAATATGTCCCAATTTATCAGCTGTTACAGATTAGCTGTTTTGCACAGCTACACATTTCAAGATTTACACATCGCTATTCTGCTCATATAAATTCAAATACTGCCATGTTACACATACACCTTTTTGTTTACTCCAACATAACTTTTCTAATACAGAAAATTTCACACGTAACAGAACTGCACATAATAGTTTTTCACATATTCATCTTCACTGATCTCAATGACACCGACACACATTTTAAACTGCGTACTTGTGAATTACGTCAACTGTTCAATATAGGTAGGATTTACACATCGTTATTAATGCGGAAGTAAATATCATAGCACATATAATTTTTTTACAAATTCCTGAATTGAGTGCCAAGTATTTTATACGTGTGTAAGGCTATTTTACACAACAGTCAATAAACAGTAAACAATTGGACTGATTTGTCAAATAATAAGACAACAAAGGGATGAGTTATACTGTTGTGTTAGAATATCTAACATACGTGTAAATCCGACACACATATATAAAAGAATATCTTGCATACGTGCTATCTATTTTCACTTTCATAATGCTGTGTAAGTTAGTATAGTTTACGGTTATTTAGTTCATGTTTGTGTCGATATCATTGGGATCAGTGTAGGTGAAGATTTGAAAAATTATCATGCACTTTAGCATTACCCCCGGCTCGCTTCGCTCGCTCGCCACCATCTCCTTGAGTTCAAATAAAAATCGGAAATACTTCGTCTTTATCACATCGATAAATAGCGAGCGATAATAACGATATATATAGGCTCGCATTACCGCATTAAAATTCCATCTTGTTTTTGACAGGTATTGAATAACTGATATCAGTGGTAGACATTCTCAATAGACTCGTCTCACATGAAAAAATAAGCAGGGGATCGAGCCTTCTTGGTAGAAGTCATCTGACCATTTCTTTGTGTGTTATAACTCTTTTTCTTTTTTTCATTTCTACCAATTCCATTGGAAGTAAGCTTCTGAATAGACCTGTACCAATTCTGTTTAAAAAATTGAAACACCAATCCCGCTTAGATTAGATATCAACAATGTTGCCAAAAAAGCTGCCTGCAGATCAAACAATATCTTTTTCGTCCCGGCGGTTGCAAAGTACACATTTCCCATACAGATAAATTCCGGATTTGTGAAATCGTCACTTTCATGAATCTGTAGATTATGAGGATCATTACATAAGTATCATTAAAGGTTTTCCCCAAAGTTTTGAACGTACTCTATGCATTGTCAATCAGTTATTGTCAATTTCATAAATCCGGAGATTATCAGCCCTCACGCGATAGGCCATTATAATGCATGGCATGCATTTTCATTTAAAACCCCAAGAAATTATTTCAATGAATCCTACGAAAAGCATATGTCCCCATCTATGTTTTTATATATTGAATCCGACAATACGTAAATCGATAAAAAAAATCATACAAAATCATTTTTTGTTACAAAGAAAGCTGTCATGAAATCCTCGAATGACGAGTAAATATGTTACTATCACAGATATTTGTTCCTATATTGGATGAAACCAGTCGCATCTAAATGGACCAATTGGATAAACAATTATGAATACATAGAGACCTCTACAACTTTGAAGTGAATAAATATATGTACACATCGAGATACGCGGTAGTGTATCGGCCGAGAAAAGTTTTGATGCCGACTGTACAAGACATCTGGCCGAGCGCAGCGCGTATCTATACATGTCAGAACGTCCCCCTCCATTACCTCTAAGTGATCGACATTCGTTATAGTAAAAACGGGAGGACAAATCGGAAAATTCTCCTTAGTTACATTATATAAAACGCCGATGAGCTTTTCAACGGTGTAACTATTGTATTTTTTGGATTAACTGTAAAAAAGATACATGCACAGCACCGGGCTGATATTCACATTCTCGCGATTCAAATTATAAGGTCGGAGAGTCAAGTTACAACGTTGGCAGCGCCTGTCCAAACGCATCTAAATGGTTTGTTATATTTAAGAGAATCAGGAGACATGTTTTAGTCTCACTTCAAATTATTTATTAGAGTAAAACGAAAAATTAATTCAGTGTTCTATTTTTTTCATTCCTGCGAGTGATAAAAGTTTTCAGTTTCGAGGGGACAATGGTCTGAATTAGATTATGGTAATTGAAAGGATGTTCCATCTTGTGAACAAAAATGAGTTGAATTGAAAAGAACAACTTCTTTATGATATGGAAATAATTGTGTTTATTTTTTTTTTAATTGGTGAAATCTCCCTAAAAAACAAAATCAAACAATTTTGTAAAAAAAACTGCTCCAGGAAAAAGTTTTGTGTGGTTTTTACTGGAAAATTGAAATTTTTGCAAAATACAAAGAAATAAAAATGAAAGCGAAGTCAGGAATGACAAATAAATGGGTATAGGACACGATCAGATTTCTATAGGAAAAATAATTCTCAAGAAAAAAAGGACTTTTTAAAAATTCTCCATAAATTAAAAAATCAGTAGAAGCAGGACCAACGTTCTTAGCGCGAATTTTTTCTATATATCAGTGTAATCCTTTATCTGCTGATCCGGGCGAAGGATGTTGGTTCTGCTCCTACTGATTTTTTATTTAATGGGGAATTTTTTAAAAATCATGTTTTTCTTGAGAACTACTTTTCTTATAGAAATCTGATCGTATCCTATACCCATTTATATGGCATTCCTGACTTGGCTTTCCTTTTTATTTCTTTGTAGTTTTCAAAAATTCCAATTTTCCAGTAATAAAAACAAACAAAACTTTTTCTTGGCGCTGTTTTTTTATAAAAACATTATTATATATAGAGGTAACTGTTGTGTTATCGCGTATTTCGCACCTCTGTGGAAGGATACAACGTACTCAGCCCTCGGCGTCCAAGTCAACGAATCAAAAGTTAGGCGCCAGCACGTCTGAAACGTGCAAAATACAAATCCAAAAAATCTACAACATATTCGCAAACAAAAGGGCAACTGCCGATAACTCAGATCAACCGCGGAGGCGGCTGGGTTCCACAAAATGTCGTCCTACGAAAATCCTGAACTGACTAGGTTTCAAGCTTATCCGACGAAATGACGAAATCAGAATTTACGGGGATTACATAATCTTTTAATAAATGAACTAATCAATTAAATTATTACAAAGAAAAGATTCAAATAAAACCTCTTTCTTATTCTCCAAATATTTCACTCAAATCTCGGTAATTTATATCACAGCAAATAAATAATCAAGTAACAAAACTAATGACTCGATACAACACAAATTCCCTAACCGTAATTTATCAATAAAATAAAATGCTAGTCAAGTGAAAAGGAAGTCAAAATCAGTCAAAATATTGTCAAAAGGTAAAGTAACTAGCAAAGTCACTGATAAGTCGCTTATCATAGAAAGGAATCTACAATTACCCCGAGAAATGAAGGTCGCAATAATAGGCGATACCGGCGAATCCAAAATAATTCCAAATGAACAAAATTTCGATAAAATGTCGAGAAATCCACATCCGATCATCGACAACTAGCTAAAGAGAGTCATAATGCTAAGATTTAGAACCACTGAATTTAATTCAATAAAAAAAGAAATTATCTCAATCAACGGGGCAATAAATAATTCATCAAACCCAATATGAATTTATCCTAAAGAAACAACAAATGAATTTATCGAACACGTGAAAAATAATTAACACTCTACCGAATAAGTAGCGAGACCTCGAACCGAGACATGACTCGACTCTCTAATGGCGCCAAAATTCGCCAGACGCCAAGCGTTGCAAAATTCATCAAAAATACAAAAATGATAACCTCGCCAATTATTGTTACAAAAGATCTCTTTGGAGATTTCCACTGCTCGCCGTGATATCCAAAACTCAAAATAACTCAGCACACAGGCGCCAATAGAACTACAATCCCCTGGAGAGGTAGAATTTCCAAACTCCGATAAATTACTTCTTAATTTTTACACAACACTTCCAGAAGCTCAACAGGTCTCGATGCCGTCCAAACGAGAAGTGTCCATATCACAATGCTAAAAGACCCGTCAGCTTCTCCTCCAATAAATCAGTCATCTGATTAGCTTGGACACGATCGATGGTTCGCTCTGGTTGGTTAATACTATCCAACTCAATCAAACCCAACAGCAACACATATCTCAATTCACGTTCACCACAATCAACAATGACGTGAATTCTCCAAAATTCATGAGAGATTCTTTCGGGTAAAATCATCCAATGATTTTTCCTCAATTAATGACGATTTTGCTAGATGTCTAATGTCAGTCCAGTCCTTCTCTAATCGACAAATTCGTCACCTGAACCCCAACTTCCGGTCCAGTATGGAGAGTAGTCCGCCATGCTTCATATCCCTAGCTATTTCCAATGCAAGCGACGAGACTCGATCGTCCACATAAATCCCTCAACCGCGGGAACCATTCAACCAATTTGAATGTAATGTGGTTCGATAACCGTGTTTGACCTCTAAGACTCCAGGACTCACTACTTGAGAATGGAATTTCCTCTCCAACTACT